CGCAGCACCACATGCAGCCTTGAGAACAACCCATGACATGCGGAGGCAGATGTTGTGAGGTCCTAGGGTCAGGGAGCCCTGGCCTCTGTGAGGTCCCAGAACCAGGAGGCAGATTAGAGGTTGGATTGAAACCCAGGCCTGTGGGACTTCAAATCCATCATGCCCCTTCTTTGTGAGGTAATCATTCCACTTTGCCTCCTCTCTCCTCGGGCTGTACACCTCTCTCCTGGCCTCATGCTCCAGTGATGAGCTTGCTTCCCACCTCAGCCAGAAGCTAGAAACCATTCGAGTCTGCCTGGTTCTGTGTTATGAGCCCTTCATCTCTCCTTCTGTGGTATTTTCCATCATTTTCCCAGCAGCTACTCTCCTTCGTTGAGGGACTCTCTTCTGTAGCACTTATTGCAAACATCTTCCCTTCCTTCTGCATCCTGTCAACAGGAACCAAGTCAAGCAGCTCACCCTTTCTCTACCTGACTCCTTCTCTAGTCAGTGTCTCTAGTTCTCAGCTTACTACAGCAAAACCCCCAAAAGAGCTGGAAAACACCCTCTTTATGAATGAATGGTCTCCATACTGCCAATTCCAACAGTTCATTCTCTGTCCCTTGTGTCTGACATAACTGGTGACTTTCTGCTGGAAAATGGTTCTTGGTTGAGTTCTGGGGACACCAAATGCTTGGAGCAGTCTTTCACTTCTGGCTTTTTCTTGCACTCTCAGTGTGATCATCAGTGACTCATGTTTCCTGATTCCACGTTTGCTGTTATCTTGGATTAGAATAGATTCCCAGCCTCAACGCACCAAGCAGGTCAGATGACATTGGCCATCTACTCCCAACTCCCCATGGTGTCTGATCTCATGGAAGGCAGAAGGTGGAGCCTGAGCATGGCCCAGAAGTCTAAGGTGTTCAGGCCCCTTCTGCTTTCCCAACCTCGTCTCCTGTCCTCCCTGCTTGCTCTGCCCCGAGAGCACCTGGTTACTTGAGTGTTGGTTTTCCTTCAGCATTCTCCATATGACTTAGGCCCTTTTCTCTTTGTTCTGCCTGTAGTGTTTTCCTCTATATCTGCTCAATTTCTGTTTCCTTGCATCCTTAAGTTACTATTCAGATGCCACCTCCCCCGTGAGTCCACCTGCAGACTGTCCGCATGTGGTTCTCCATGCCCATGCTTCATGGCGTATTCTATCCCCATGTCTACCTCGCTTTGTTGCTGTGTTCTTCTAGGAGCACAGGGACTCTTAAGCACTTAATCCTGTGCCTGAACTATTGCAGGTAATACACACCTTTTGAAGGAAAGAAAGACTATACAACATTATTTCCTTTGTATCTTTTGTTACTCATTATTGAGCATTTTGGTTGTATGTGCTATTGATACAGATCCAAACTAGGCCAAATCAAAACAAAACTGGAGAAAATGGCTTTTCTTTTCTGAGAAATGCCAAATGACTAAGTGGGACCAGGGGGATATAGGTGAGGCTGCTTTACAGCAGGGACAGCTGGCCCTGCTGTAAAGGGGAGCTGCTGGCCTGTTTGGAAGTGTGCTGGGCCTCTTCCTGGGTTGTACCTGGCTAGTGAAGCGGATTCTGTTAGGGGAAGTGGGTGGGGTGGAGTGGAGTGCTCCAGAGGAGAGCTAGCATTCCTTGGCCAAAACCACTGGCCTGTGATTCCTAAACATTATTTGATATCACATAAAACATAGGGGACCGCCTTTCATTGCTTCATTTTATAGGCAGGTTGGGAGACTGTATCAGTTGTCTAGTTCTGCAGTTGGAGCTGGATGTGGTTCACCAAAAGCTCACTAGTGGGAAGGAAAAGGCGAGGTACCCGGCTTAGGGAGCATGGAGTTCCTATTCAGATCAGCGTTCGGACACGGAGATCAATGTCCAGAAGAGTCAGATGTGGATTCAGGGATTCACCGTCTTTCAAAAAAGTCATTTTCCTCTCTTTTCTTTTTAAAATCCAGAAGAACGGGAAAATACTACAGAAGATGTATAAATAATTATGCATTGTATCCTCTAAGAAGCTTACAGTCTTACTTGGAAACTAAAACGAATACAGTGCCCAGTAGATTATCATATAGGGGGCCGGTGAGATAGCTCAGCAGATTAAAGAACCTGCTTAGGTAAGTTTAGGCAAGTGCAGGGACTGTGGTTTGAGCCCACAACCTCATGTCATGCTGGCCCCACCCCCAGGGCTGACTGAGCCAGCCGGAGTCCAGGCATAGTGACACATGTCTGCAATCCCAGCACTGGGGAGGCTGAAAGCAGGAGCATCACCAGGAGTCTCATATAGGGGGCCGGTGAGATAGCTCAGCAGATTAAAGAACCTGCTTAGGTAAGTTTAGGCAAGTGCAGGGACTGTGGTTTGAGCCCACAACCTCATGTCATGCTGGCCCCACCCCCAGGGCTGACTGAGCCAGCCGGAGTCCAGGCATAGTGACACATGTCTGCAATCCCAGCACTGGGGAGGCTGAAAGCAGGAGCATCACCAGGAGTCTGAGCTAGGACTTGAGACCCTGCAACAACCAAATACATTAAAAAAGAAAAGATTCTCATATAGGGTACTGTCTGATACAATGCTGACATAATGAATGAAGTATATTTTAATGCTATTACTACTGAGAAAATTGATACCATTCTTTCAGTCTGCATTTATTAATTGCATTAGGCGTGATACTAGTTTCTGGGGATAAAGAGGTGATGATGGTGATAATGATGATTATGTGACTTCATTTAAATGAAGCATTTAGAATCAGAAAAATCATAGAGGTAGAAAGTAGACTAGGAGTTGGCAGGGCGTTGGGCAGAGGAGGAACATATAGTTCCTATTCTGTGGTTACAGAGTTTATGCTTGGGATAATGAAAAAGTATTGGAAAGGAAGTAGCAGTGATTTCTGTACAACATTGTGAGTTTAATTAATATCACTAATTTGTACAGTTAAAAAGGAATGAAATGGTAATATTAATTGTTGTATATGTTTTACAGTTAAAATTGATTATGTAGTATGTCAAGACCTGTTGAAGTATAGACCTTAAATAAGTTGTATCATCTGTGATTCATATCTCAATAAATCTGTTACATGTTATCATGCTAGATTATAAAAACTCTAATCTACTTTTGAACAAACAGATCACAAATTGGGAAAATTTGACCTGTGAAGTCAACTCTGATGTATATTCTAGTAAATTATATTTTAGACAAAAGGAAAGTAACTTCCTGAACTCAAGGCAAAAAGACCAGCTCGTTTACAAAGGAAAGAAATTCAGGCTGGCATCAGACATTTTGACAGCAACTTATAAAATAAGACACAAGTAGCATTTTCAATAAAACTCAAGCAAAGATGCAGCGAGACTCTGAGCTTCCAGTTTGACAGCTGTGTTGAGTTCGTGGTGTATTATACTGTCAGTGAAGTGCTAAGAGAGCATTTTGAGCCAAGGCACCAGAATGTGCGAAAGCTGGAGGCAAGAGACTGCCTGAGACTTTCAGATTTGCAAATAAGTCAAATACTTTGGCACGGTCAGAGTCTCTGTAGAGTGAAGTGGAGAGATTCCTCAGTGCTTCAATGTTGTCGAGTATTTCATTCATTTACTTAAGTGATATTTCTTGGGTATTAATATTAAGTGGTTGATAACGTCTATTCATGTAATAGAAGAGGGAGGGAGAGAGAGGGGGAGAGAGAGACAGAGGCTTTTAAGATCTGTATAAAGAGATGGGGGGAGGGTTACACATACAGGTTTAACATAATTCTTCAGCTGTTCCAAACAACTTCTTCCATTTCGACCTTTCCCTAAGCCTAGTATTAGAAGTACTGGTGGACAGTTTTTAATTTTCTTTTCAATTACTATAGTTGTGCAGACTTAAAGGGTATAGCGTGATATTTCATACACCAGTTTAAAAAACAAGGATAGAATGTATGCTGATCAAATCAAATGAATGTATATAGTGTATACTGATGAAATCAAACATCCATCTCCTTATTGTTTCTTTGCATTTGGGACCTTTGAGCCTCTCTCTTCTTGTTCTTCATGACGCATATGCCTTTCAGACCACTGTAATATAGAACACTAGATCGGATACCCCCAAGCTACAGTTGGTGTCCGTTCTTTCTCTTTCCTCTTCCATCCAACCCCCTTTACTAGCCTCTAATAAACACTGTGCAATCCATCATTGTAGCACCCCCAGATAGGAGAGAATACCCAGTATTTGTCTTCCTGCGTCTGGCTTATTTCACTTAACATAATGTCCTCTGGTCCCATCTGTTTGGGCTGGAGGACAATTAATCTATGCACGAACGAGGCCAAGCCGGGCTGCACTGTGGATGAACAGGCCGTCAGCGGAGATGCCTGAGTCCGGAACTGACCTGCCAGATGAGATTTGAGTGCACGTGTGCAACAGTAAATGAAATGTAAACTATTCTTGGGCCTGTATTCTGTTGCTGGGACTGGCTTAGGTCCTGAGGATGCCAAGACACATGAGCTGGTGTCTGCTTTCAGGCTGCCCACAGATTCGTGGCTGCTGAATGGAGCACAGGGTGTAAGTGAGATGGACCTTCGGGGTGTCAAGAGGTTTAGAACTTCTAGCTTCCAATGGTGTGGTGGGCGAGGATCCAACCCCTGCCGCAGTGTTTCCTTTGAGGGCTGAACTATTTGGCATTCAATATATTTTCCTCCTGACAGAAATCAACTTGAATAACCTGAACAAAACACAGCAGGATTATTGAAAGGTTACTGAGTTGTCCCATGGAGTAAACACAGGGAAGAGGATTTAGCTGGAACGCTGGAAGGGTGCCGAAGACCAGCTAATGCTCAGGTGGCTCTTAGTGGCATATCACTGACACCACTGTGCATTAGGCTTAGACAACACTTTGCCAAGCAATCACTGTGCCTTGCTTGCCTGAGTCTCAAGATAAATAGATGAGTAGGGGAGGCAGCATCTTGTTTATGTGAAATCCCAAGGAGACGAAGTGATGTGTGTAAGACTGCATTGCACTTGACTGGTTAAGCCCAGAATTTACACTAGGACCCTCCTGACTCCTGAGTTCATTCTCTTTCAATTAGACATCTTCAAAAATATCCTTTCAATTAAACATCTTCAGAAATGTTCTTCGCTTGCTAGTGTGTGTTTTCCTTTTTGTTGCTTTACCTTATTGTTCTTTTCATTTGTTTTGATCTTTGGAATAGAGGAGTTAGTTGTATGTCTTTAGTAATAGGTTTATTTAAGATATGTGTGAAAAGTGTCTTTAATTTGTGCCCTGTGACCTGAACAGGAAGGGCCACCAGGAAAAGAGATAATTAAACAGATGCGTAGATTTCCGCAGTCTCAGTGATTTCCTTACTGTCCTCTCTGAGATGCCTTACAAGAAATGGCCCACTATAGCTAACATGACGAGACAGAGTTTGAAAGGGGTTTGAAACTTCTCCAGACATTTCCTGAGCCTAGAGTTGTAGTTCATTGTTTTCCAAATTCCAATTTTTTCCTCCACAATGAACAATAACTTTTTGATTAAACAGCTGGCAGTTACTATTGAATGCCTCGCACTTAATAACAAAAGTCTTCCTTCAGAACAGGAAATTTTATCTAAATTGCTTTGCTCTTCTTTGGTGATAGTGAACTTCTAAAGTCTGACAAGAATGATAGCATGAAAAAAATTAAAAAAGAAAAAAAAAAAAACCTCCCCAGAAGACGATGATTACTTTTAAAAGAGAGCCCCAAACTAAATGAATAATTCAGAGTACAAGCTGCCGAGCAGAAGTCATAGCGCACAAGTTGTCCTCTCTGTAAACATTATTAAAAAACAATCGAGTTTATATTGACACATTTATATTGAGAAGACTACAGACAGCAGCTGAGAAGCAGAGGGTGAGAAATCTCGAGAGTACCGCCTTCTCCAGCGTGTTCTTGTCCTCCGTAGAAGCAGCTAGTGTTTTTCAGCAGGTGCGGTGTGCCGCGGAGGCCTTCCCCTTAGTCTCATTCCCTCCTGCCCTGCTGGAGGGTTCCCCTGGGCTGAAATCACCCTGGAGCAGAAGGAGGAGGGGACTTGTTGGTATAGATGTAAAGATCGGGGTGTTGGGGCCTAAAGCCTGGCAAAGCAGGGCCACATCTGTAGGGGCCAATGGGGAACATTCAGCTCATTCCATATGAGAGTACATGATAGTCTTCTTTGTGTATTGCTCATTACCCACACTAGATCACAAGCTTGTAAAGCCAGGGATGTGTTATTCTTGGGAAAATAAGACGTATCCCTGCTTGTGTCATCTATTGATTCTTCCCTTCATCTATCCTCCACACCACCATTATCAATGAGATACGGTCAGGAAAATTCATGTCTTTATATGCTTTATAAAAAGTGAATGCTGAAGGATGTTCTTGCTTTTCTTTGTAGTGCTTTCCTGTTTTTTCTTTTTCTTAAGAATTTAAATATAACCACCTTTAGAAATGATCCTACTATTCCTGTTGCTCATCCTGTATTTTCCAGGTTTGATAGGCAGAGTCCCAGCCATTTCTACTACTTGGCCAAGGTGTAGATCCATCTGTGGAGGAGCTCCCAGTCAAGCCTGACTCGGTTGCATGGAGCACACAACCCAAAGTAGGCCTCGGTCAGAGAGTCCTGTCTGTGTGGGGCGAGGCTGGCATTTGTAAATCTTAGTGAGGAGTCTAGGAAATTATAGTTTTGGATAATTCATGAAGTTCTTTTACTGCATAGCCTAGTTTAGGAACTGCCAAAGGACCACCTTTGTGGTATACTCCAAAGTCCTGAAAATGTCAGAAGGACAAGGAATATGGGTCTTAGCTGGAATCTTGGAGATGCCCATGTTTGGGCTGAGTGTTGGATGTGGGGTCCATCTAAGGAAACTATTGAAGATGCAGTAAAATATTTCCTTGGCTTTTTTAACAGAGCTGCTAGGACATGATATATTCTTCAAGGAGGTTTAGAAATGTCTGATCATCAGAGGATGTGTGGAAAAGTTTCCGATTGCTACATGGGGATGGTCATACATGCTCATATGTGACAGGTGGCTTTGGGTGTTCATAGATTAACATAGTTAGCACAGATGGAGGTTGGGTTAGAATCTTTTCCACGCCCTTTCTGACCTTGGAAGTCCTTGGTTATCAGTGTGTGTTTTATATGATCAGTAGGCTTTTGAATGATTATCCCTAGGGCCTAGCATTTAAATCTTCTTCTAGGTGAATAATAATACCAGTTTGCACTTGACTACTGCCACTCATAAGCATCAGCAAATGTTTTGGAGGCAGTCAGCCAGAGCTGGAGAGGAGCACTTTGAATGGCATATTGTTTGTGGTCCCCTGCAAAGATTAGGGCTGTGACTATGGCTGCCCAGTGTTGTTGGCTCATTGGCTGAGGGGTGATTTCAGAGGCTCATGTTCTATTTGATTGTGCTGAGCATTTATAGAAATTGTCAAGTTGGCAGTGGGTACTGGACTTCAACTGGTTGAGTATGAAGTCTAGGTATTTTGTCTGAGAATAGTTTAAATGAAAGTTAGTTTAAATGAAAGTATTAGACTGTTCTGTGAAGATAAATGCATTAATTTTAGTTAATAACACTAACGATGTTCCATGTGTAATCATTTTAAACTTTATAAAATACTTTTGGAAAGCATATATGCATGTTCATGGAAGAAATATGTTATGTATAATAAGTATTGCTATGAAAAGTTAATGGATAAAAACCAGGGGGACCAGAGAGGCTCATGAAGTACTCCAAGTCACAGTGTAGACATAGTAAACGTAAGATGCAAACAGAGATTTTGTGACTCTGGTCAGTGATCCTTTTTTCTCTCATATCTTGTATGTAACCTACAGGTTGAAAATTTGATTTTTTCAGAGCAGAATTAATCAAGCCTATGAGCCAGGCTAGCATGGCAGAAGTTTACACTCTGTGTTGAATTTAGGTTTCACTGTTTACAGAATGGTTCTGGTCGAGTCTCTTAACCTCTGTAGCACAGAGTACAGCAACGTTTGTCTTTTAGGGATATTGCAAGGTTTACAAAATCTGTGACCTTCTGGCATACTGCTACCATGTACAGGTAGCGCTTTATGATTCTGAGACAGTGTTTCTCTGCCTTTCCAAGCCTGAGGTTAATGTACCTGTCCACTGATCCTCCACTGTACTGTGTCTCAGTCCCTTCCTCACCCCTGGGACGCAATGTCTAACACCACAGCTGCCAAGGGGTGGTGTGCTTTGGCTCAAAGGTTCTGGAGGGCGCAGTCCGTGGTTGGCTGGCTCCTATGCAGAGAGGACATGGCAGAAGAGCCTGGCAGAGAGGAGCTGCAGAGAGTGAAGGGAGGAGCTAGGATGAGGCTACCCCTTCCAGTTCACGCATGGGCGCCCCATTCCCTGAAAGAGCACATTCAGCTCAGAACTCCTCAGCAGATGCAGTCACTGCTGAGCATGGTGCCCATGATTCGGTCACCTTCCAAACACAGGAGACTTCTGGGAACATTCTAGATCTGAGTGTAGATCCCAGAGAGCCGGGAAGACTGGCTCTCTGCCTGTTTCTTTCCAGCCATGTGCAAATCCAAGAGAAAATGCCTCCATGGGAACTGAAAGTTCTCCTTGGAGCTACAAGAGCATACTTAATCCTTCTTCTAGAAAATAGGCCTTAATGTGTTTGAACATTATCATACCACCCTTAATCCTCCTTTACTTCTTTAGCTGGAGCAGCTCTGTTCCTTCAGGCATTCATCAATTCCTGGGGCTCAGAAGCCCCTTGCCGTCTTGCTGTTTCTTTCTGCCACCACGTACAAGTAGCCCTTAGTGATTCTGAGGCAATGTTTCTCTGCTTTCCCAAGCCTGAGGTTTACTGTACCCATCCGCTGATCCTCCGCTGTACCGTGTCTTGGTCCCTTCCTCACCCCTGGGACATAGTGCCCAACACCGCAGCTGACAAGGGATGGCTTCTACGTTGACCACCCAAGTTCTATGAATGGTGTGTGATCACCTCAGGCTGATTGACTCAAATTAGAACAAGGTAATCACTTTCTTCTCAGGGAAGAGTTTAAGGTCACAGTCTCTTTGATAGCCTTATTTTACCTTGCTGTTGACCCAAAGAGGCGAAGATATTTTCAGTGTATTTCTGTGGTACATTTTTTTTTTTTTTGATAAATGTGTTTGTGATCTCATAGTTTGTCTTTTAGAAATGTTATTTACCCCAGGCATGGAACCTTTCATTTCTTCATGCAAAATTGATCTTATTTGAGTTGGTCATAGCTCCTGTTTATTAATATCTGCTTGAATCCGATGATGTACTAAATTTGTTATAACTGAAGCCACCACACCAGCTTCCTTTGTTCTTGCAGCTTTAGGAAGCCTGCCTCCTTCCTGTGTCACCACCAAGCCACTAGTACAAGGGCTCCATGGGACAGGCTTTTATGAGCTTGCTATGTGACTGATCCAGTCAGACTCATTTTAGGGTGGTGTCCAGATTAGGGACTGTAAGCAAGGAGTGAAGATTTGTGAGAGGTTAGGGGAGGCGTTAGAGACATAAAATGTGGCTTATGAGGGAAAGGTCCTCTGATGTGTTGAGGAAACCTAAAAGAAATAGTGAAATTTAGTTGGTAGGCAAGAAAAAGCATGAGTTTGATAAGTGTTTCTAAGAGGATAAAGCAGGTCATAGGCAGGCTTGGTCCTGTCTGTCTGTCTGTCTGTCTGTCTGTCTGTCTGTCTCTTGCTCTCTCTTTGAGTCATAGCCTGCTTTGGCAGTCTTCCCTGCAGTGTTTGCCAGTCTCATCTGAACGCTGCCCACTTCTCTGTGAGACGTCCCCTCACAGCTTTCATCTTTTCCTCCTTTCTTTTTGGTTGCATTTGTATTTACTCTACAGCCTGCTGCAAGGAAACCATCAGGAAGCTGCTGAGCCATGCTCTTCTTCCTCCCTGCCCTGTGCAGACCTGGCTGGGAACTCGGTTCTCACACATTGAGGGCACACTGCATGTGTTGGGCGCACAGTGCATGGACCCTCAGAGTCACTCTCCTGGTTGCTGTCTGCTTTCTCCTTATAATGCCAGAGGTGCATTTATTAATCTTGTCATTTGTTGAGTGTATTCTAGAATTGCTCAACAGATTGGTAGGAGGGATGGCAGCACTTCTCTTTGGGGCTTTCCTTTTATGTCCTTCTGGTACAAGCTCTGTGTGCTGGGCATTTCATGTGAGCCAGTAATTAACAACCAGGCAGCCTGACAAGGGAATCCAACCATTAGTTTATCATGCACTCGGGGGCAAAGCATCCTGTCCCAGGGAGGAAGCTTGGAGGAGCCATTGTGTGGAGTAGGATGACTCTGGTGGACAGCTCCAAGCTGCTGGGTGTCTGGGAAGAGTGTTCTGACTCCAGATAGACGTCTTTTGTTTTTTGTGAGAGAGCTCAGGAACTTTGTTATTCTCATACTTGCCTTGAGGCTGAGGCCAATAGAAGAAGTACTTGTTGCCTCTTTTAGCATATGGCTAGGATAAGGGCTTAGTCCTCATAATAACCAGCACATCAGTGAAGGGACACCTGATAGGAATGATCCTGTGTTCTGCCCAGGAAGCTTTCTCCTAGGAGTGCCTGGCTAAAAAGGTAGTGAAGATCGATTCTGTCTAGCAAGGAAGGTCATCGTAACTTTCTTCTTCAGGAAGAGCTTTGCTTTAATTCAAGCCAAAGCCCAAGACAAACCTCTTCATTTAGTGCCTCATTTCAGCTTCATATTGTCTTATTGAACAGGAGCACAATACATGCCAATTCACATGACTTACTTTGGAAATTCATTCTTCTGTATAATTGGGAGAGGAACTATGGAGTTCCTTCTGAGGGCTTTATTCATTCGAGTAAATAAAAATCCAATATTCCTTCCTAAGTATTGTTGCTGAACCATCCCATTACTTTGTGTTTGGCTCTGAGGGTTTTATCTTCTAACAGGAAAATCAAGCTCTTTATAGACTATTGACCGGTCATTTAGTCAGGTGTGACACCTGCCAGCAGGGGTTCTTACACAAAGTCATCAATAAAGAGAGGTTTTTGTCTTGTTAAGAAAATTCCTAGTGTGAACCCTGGATGCAGTGGCTTTCGCCAAGTAGTGTTTCTGCTCCTTTGCATTGTTCATTCGTTTCAAGCAGATGGTATGTTTGACGGAATGCTTAATTTTCCCTGGCATTGTGTTAGAAATGGGAGACTCACACTTTAAAACTTGAGTAGACAATAGTGACATGTGCAAGTCCTGACGTGCTCCCCAGGCAGGCCCTGGCTAGGGCTCACGTGAGCCTCCAAACCTCAGAGCAGTGATGAAGGGGAAATTATGTTGTTTTCAGTCCAAAGAAAGGGTGGACTTTGGATGGTTGTGGGGTAAACAAACACATTATTTACATCTGACAGCCAATGGGAATATGATAAATTTGGACCGATTATAATGCAGTCAACTTAAGCTGTAAATCAGTCACTTATCAAAAGGCTTGCATTTGATCTGATTAATTTCCTGGTTGCTGACTCTTTTTTCTTTTTGAAGCGCAGTTTTTACTGAGTTTCTGTTTGACAGATAGGCTTGCTATCACTATTTTCTCTGTGAAAAACAGTGAAAAGAGTTTACTTTGATCTTTCTTTCCAGCTCCTTTTTTTTTTTATTTTATGGAAAAAAGGTAAATAACATAGTGAATATTTTCCATGTTAATATCTTTAAAGTAGTTCCAGCTTCTTGGGTAAGCCTCACGAGGTGGGCTTGTGAAGGAAGACAGCTGAGAAAGGATGCTCAGATTTCTCTTAATTTTATTGACTTTGTTTCCCTCTAGATTACCTGTATAAGGGCAGTTGTCAAGTTTGAACAGCTGTTCTTTTCAGTGTGAATTACTCTGTTCTGTGGATTGCTCATTATAAATTTTTGCCCTTGTAAGGCATTTATAAGGATCCGATTATTCTGAAGATGGTGTCGGGGAGAAATCATTCATTTATTTGCTCATATATCAAGTGGTCACCTCTTTGGCAAAGCAGTGGAGATGCTGATTTGTAAAAGACCACTTCTGTGCATTTGAGGGCCTTATGGGCAGGTAGGAAGAGCCAGCCAATCAGCACAGAGCCAGTGTGGGCAGGCGTTGGCTTTGACAAGCTAAGCGATACACCGTGATCAGGTGGTGAGGAGCTGCATGCAATGGGGTAATCAGGGAGGGTCTTTCAGTCCAGGAGACCCCTGAGCAGGTGCAGGGGTGCTGCAGTGAGGGCATCATCTCGCCCAGACCTTGAAGATCATAGATGGTTAGCAGCAGCGAGGAAAGGCCACACAACTTGAAGGAAAAGTGCTGATATCTGCAAAGGGCAATCCCTTCTTCCTTGGCAGGAAGCTGTGGAAGGGGAGGCTCAGCCGTGACTAGAATCCTAGAGGCTGCCGCATGCATTGGTGGTACAGTGTCACAGGCTGAGGTGCTGCAGAGTGTGTCCTAAAGAGTCATCCAGGCAGGGATGGTGTTGGACACCAGTACAGAGCTAACCTAAGGAAGTGCGGGTCTATAAAGACAATCTGTAAGCAAGGATGGATGAACCCCATCTGGAGGAAGAATGCAGAGCTAGAGGCTGTGCTCACTGCAGACAATTTCATTTTCCCAGAATCCTTTTCTATGAACTGGATAAATCTAGTCAAGGTCCTACTAGGTTTAGTGAGGGTGGGTCAGTTTTGGCTATGTGCTTTGTTACGTGAACTTCTTTTTCCTTTTCTTCCCTGCTGTGTAAGTGACACTAAGAATTGTAATTTATTTCAATGAGTTAAGCTTTTGCATTTTTAAGAAAATAAAATAGGGGTGATCAAACTAGGCAGTGAGCATTTAAAATTCGAAGAATTATTATAGTAAAAACTACATTGTCATTAACCCCCTACACACACACACACACACACACACACACACACACACACACAGACTTCCCCCTTGATTTGATTGTTATCTCATCCTTCTTTCCATTTTCTGAAGCAATTCTGGAATTCTTTTTTCATGAAGGTGTGGCTAGCACAAGGTCCTGAGTTCAAGTCCCAGTACAGAAAAGGGGGAAGCTGGGGAGATAGGTCGGCAGTCTAAGCACCTGCCTGGCAAGTGCAAGGACTGGAGTTCAATCCCTAGTATTGCATTCTGTGCTGGCCCTATCACTACACGTTGAAGCTGTGTAGCAAGACCCTGTGCCAAATCAATTAATGATTAAAAAGTATGGTGAAGACTGCTGCTGCCAAATATTTTTAAAATTTTTTTAATGTATGCAATGTGTTAATTATTGAAACTGTCCTACCAATTTGATTTGAAACTGTCTCATTGCTATTTGTTTATCAATAAAATTATGGAAAAAATTTTTAAATGTATTTTCTGTAGGATCTTGCTACATAGTTCAGACTTGTGGTGATTCTCCTCTTGCGGCCTCCCCAGCAATGGGATTACAGGTGTGAGCCACTGTGCTGGGTCTTGGTGGTTGGTTTGGGCATGCCCAGGGTGGGGCTGGCACAGTATGCAGTATTGGGGATGGAGCCCGAGTGTCTTGGTTACTCTTCTCTTGTTGCTTGGACAAAGTACCCAGCACCGGAATGAAGGAAGGAAAGGTTTATTTAGCAGAGTCAGTGGAGGTTTCAGTCCATCCTCAGCTGGCTCCAAGGCCGAGGGGCACATGGCAGACAGCAACCGTTCTTGGTGGGGGCAGAAAGCAGAAAGCAGCTCAGGCAGCTAGCTAGCTTCTCTCTGCTTCTCACATGGTAATGCAGATTACGTGCC